GAAAGAGGTTTCATTACACTCATTGTTTTTTTCCTAGCATCAAGTTAAGGAAAATATTTAATTTTGTTTGTTCAACTAGGTCAAAGGGGAAGAAGTCTCAAAAAACTATTGCCAAATAATTTGGAAACTACAGAAACCTGCTAATACACTAGTATTACCAGAAATTAATGCTTGATGATTCTCAAGGGGGGGACTCACCGAATATTGGGGGTGATCAGAACTATGAGTACGAAGTACTGTATGTTACAGGAATGATGTTTTGTAGTATTGAAAAAAATATGGTTATTATATAAACTATGAGGCAGAATAACCACGTTGAACAGAAAGTGCACTTTCAAGCACAAAATATGTATGCTCCTCATTAGAGACAATAAGATATTCTGCATTTTCTGAGATCAATGACTTAATCTTGTTGCATAAGCTGTAATACACAGTGGTACCTTGGTTTTCAAATTTAATCCGTTCCCAGAGACGGCTCGTAAACAGAAAAAATTTGCCACCTGAAACGAATTTTCCCATAAGAAATAATGTAAATTGAATTAATCCGATCCACACTCCCAAAAATGTTAACTTCAAAATACATTTCATACATAATACACACAAATATTTTGTACTATAGTATGTACAAGTTATAGCTTACCTTTATTGATGACTTGTTGGCGTATGGAAAATGGGGGGGAGGAGGAGAGGTGTTAGTGTTTGGAAGGGGAGTCCCCTTCCATTATAACATGAGGCACTGATGACATGTCTGGGGTACTCTCTCGCTTACGGTTTGGAGGCATACCACTAGGACCTGGTTATGGCTCGCTGCTCCTTTGTCTCACTAAAGAACCTTTCCATAGAGACTTGTTTTTCTTCTATGGTCATCCTCACATGTGTTTTCTTAGGTTGAACTTTACTACTGATTTTCTTGGGATCCATGGCATGGTATATAATAATTACTTTTATGTTTAGAAACCAAAAAAAGCTGAAAAACAATGAAATTATTTACAAAGAATTCATGTGCGATCGTCACTAGGTGGGAGGTAAACTGAAAGCGTGGTCACCCGTGCCACCAGGAACCACGCGCTTGGTCAACCCATACATGTATCAACAAGCTTGCAGAGCGAGGCAAAGATCGTAAACCTATTCGAATTTTATGAAGAAATTGAGCTCGTAACCCGAAAAATTTGTAAAGAGGGACATTCATCACCCGAGGTTCCACTGTACTGTACATTGTTCTTGATAAAACTGGAGATTTGATTCCTAATCACTTTCAAAAACTTTAATTATGTGTGATGTTAGTGCAACTGGTCTATAGTTTTTTTGCCAAGGCTTTGCTACGTCCCTTGTGTAGTGGAGCTAAATGTGCTGATTTTAGTGCTTCTGTAATCTCCCCTGTCTCCAAGGTGTCCCTCCATATTATACCGAATGCTCGTGCTATGTTTGTCCGCTCAATTGCTGTCGTGTCACTAATAACTACAGTAGTGTCAAATTTTAGACCCAGTATTCATTACTGTATTGTTAATTGTATGTATAGTCGTGAACAAAAAGTTTAGGCCATGGAATCATCACCTGTAATTCTTGCATTAACACCTAAACACTGTAATGCCAACTCCCTTTTTATTACAGTATGTAAGTGGATTAGTGTAAATTAACCCATTGTTTACAGAACGTCTAGACTTCATATAAACCTGATTTATTCTCGGCTAATAACGTATTGAGGTACAGTACTGTACTTTGCCAAACCTGCAGTAAGTGTTGCTTATCTATGTTGATCCTTAAGACAAGACCCACTGATGACCATTTATTGGTCATTGCACTAATTTCAAGACTCGCCTCTTGGGCTGATAAAGTACTAGCGTGGTTCATAAATGGGTAAAGTGTGTAGGGTTGAACTTTGTTATGGTGCCGTTGTATTGATAGCACTGGCAGTAGTGGTCTAAAGTAGTTCTCATACTAGTTCGTGATAACTTGCAAGTGCAGTCAAATCGGCAAATGTTTGTTGAGTGATGGGCTGAGATTGTATTTGCATGTTTAGGTTAGGATCAATCCAGGAATTTATATGTACAGTACATAGTTATGGATCCATCTTGAATGTTTATGTAAGGATGTTCCTTAGCATATGAAGCTGTTTTGGGTATCCTTAATATATGAAGCTGTTTTGGGGATTTGCTGTTTCCTGGAGCTGCTTTACACCTTCAGGATAGCAGTGCTGTCAATTATTACCAGGTTTTGAGTTTGATAGTACAATATTAAGGTATGTTTTGGGACACAATTGTGTACAGGACGAGAGCCATGAATGTAGCTCTTGTCCTTTATCTACACTTATGTAATTACACTTTAAGAAATTACATGTATGATCATAAATCAAACACTGAATGTAATGAAATGTACTTTATGGTGGGCATTGCAATAGCTCGGAACCCACCTAAACTTAAAGACTGGTATAGCCAAGCCTTAGGAAATTGTGCCAGATCTTTGAGACCCATCTTGTCTATCAGGACCAGAATGCGGCTGTGTACAAGGCAACGATTAGCCTTGGGATCACAAATCTACCCAAGAAAAAGAATCCACCAGCAATATTTTGTGCTTTTAAGTGCCACCAGATGGCAGCTCTGTTCACTTTGGGTCTTGGGGTATTGAAGAAAAATCAAAGAGAATGGTGGAGCACCTGAAGAAGACAAATTTAGTTCTATTAGGGGAAAAGAGGAGTAGTGCCTGACAAATTTGATCAAGTTTTATATGACTGATAACAAGAGAAGATATAAGGTTCCTCGTGTATCAGAAAACATTTAATAAGGTTCATCACAAGAAACTATTTTATAAGATGGAGATGCAATGTGGGATACCAGGAAAGCCTCTGAACTGGGTAAGAAAGAGAGAAGAGATAGTGAGACTGGAGAGATGTAGCCAGTAGTGCCCCTCAAGGTTAGAGCCTGGTCAGTTCCTGCTCCAAATATATGTAAATGACCCGCCTGAGGGGGAGAGATTTTACATGTCGGTGTTTGCAGATGCCATAAAGTTAATGAGTATAGCAAGAACAGAGGTAAACTGTCGATTGCTGCAGGAAGATCTCGATGAGCTACAGGAGTGAGCAGATAAATGACTGCTAAGAGTTCAGTCCCAGCAAGTGTAAGGTAATGAAGAGGGGAATAGGAGACTGGAAGGAAATTACACCATAAGAAGAAGGCAACTACAGGAATCAAGGGGTGGGGAAAGGGGGATGGGATAAACTAGAAATGAATGAATGAATGAAATATAGGACAAGATACCATTCAGGTGAATGGGGAAGTGGGTATATCTGAAGAATAGCCGGTGAAAGGAAATGTAGAAGTTGGAGAGACAGAGCCAGGGCTAAACCCAGAGACTAGGCATTAGACATAATACCAGCACATACATCATATAGGTAGCTGACAAAACATAAGAATGGCATTTACAAATCTATATAAATATTCTTTCAAGACAATTTATGGACCAATATTAAAATATGCAGCACCAACATGGAATCTGAATGTTGTGAAGAGGTATACAACCAATTTAGTGCCCTAAATAAAAAGTATAAGCTATAAGTATAATCTAAGCTATGATAATAACAGTAATGGGAAACTTATTATAACAATTCTTGAAGCTCTGAATTGATGTGGTTTACACAGGCACAGGCCACAAGTAAAATAGAGAGAATAGCTAAAGTGGACAGTGAAAATCTCCAGTTAAAATAAAAAAGGTAATGAGGACATGGGTGGAAATGTTGTACTGTGCTTGTATCCTCTGCAGGTAGTAAACATGAGCAATGCATTGAAAGAAGCTGTGGAAGCACATCTATCCACAGCTTTAAGAGCTGTGATTCTCACTTCCAGTCGGCACTGATTAGGCTAAGCATTCAGACCCCAACCATACCAAACCACAACTATTCAACATCAGGAAATCACCCTCACCCACCCCTTACACACCCACAGCTTACCCCCTGTCACACATAATCAAAGCTTACCCACCTCACACCCAAAGCTTACCTCCCTCACACACACACAGCTTACCCCCCCTCATACACCGACAGCCGCACTCACGCACTCACGCACTCACTCACTCACTCACTCACTCACTCACTCACTCACTCACTCACTCACTCACTCACTCACTCACTCACTCACTCACTCACTCACGCACTCACGCACTCACGCACTCATGCACTCACTCACTCACTCACTCACTCACTCACTCACTCACTCACTCACTCACTCACTCACTCACTCACTCACTCACTCACACTGTACACATGTTGATTGGCAGTTGAAAGGCGGGACCAAAGAGCCAGAGCTCAACCCCTGCTAACACTACTAGGCGAGTACACACATTCTCTCCTTCGGTATATCCATATTTTAATATGCACTTGTACATGGGGAAGGTGGGTTAAGCCTGACATAGAGAGTGGGATACTTCATCAATCATCTGCATTCACATTCTGTTTAGATCTTTTATTATCTTCGGCCTCTGTTGTGACTTTATCTTTTGTTTGGTAACTTATATAAAATGACACATTCTCAAGACTATTGAATTTTAAACAGTAAATAACGAATGTGACACGAGACTGAATGAAAGGTGTTAAGAGTCTTATGAATCTCTTATAAGAAAAAAGATTATAATAATAACCTGGAGTTTGAACAGTACGTTAAGCTCCGTGTCCTCTGTCGGCATGTAAAGTTCAGAGATGTATTTGTATAACACTGATTCATCTGTGCAATGAAATATTGAGTGGACTTCGGCTTACATGGCACTCTTGTGTAAACTATTAATGGGCAGCATTAGAGGGGTATTTTGTTATTAGCATAAAGGGAACAATAATATTGGGAAGTCATTTATAAACTTCCTATTTAGTTACCTCCAAATTATTGGTGGGATAATGACTACGCACAAATGTTATTAAAACGATAAAAAAAATAATGACATATAACTCAAAATCAAATTAGTTTTTTGTCAGTGCATATCCAGTATGCATGCTAATTCTGAGTGTATAATTACAGGTGCCACGTAACCCGACAGTCATGGCGCGGTGAGGTGGATAATGAAGTGAGGGCAGGTTGTGTTGTGGCACACCATCATGGACCACTTGTCCCCTTCATCAGGGGTCAATTGGTACACCAGTTATAATGGTTTTGGGGAATTGCTGGCATGTTCCCAGCTTCCTCCTCTTGAATTGGGTGGGGTGGATGTTGGGAGACAGTTAACCCCCCAGGTGCATATGCAGTATGCAGTGTCACAGTTATCGGCTGGGGGTGTGCACTATGTACAGGATCATCGTAGTCTTCACAATTCGAATGTTGAAGAAACCCATGCTAATCAGGATGAATTGATACAGCACCTGGAATCTCATACCGATCGCCGTGTACGTCCAGCTTTAGGAGAGAAAATCGCTTGTAATGTGTGCAGTGCAACATTTGCATGTGGAGCAAATCTTAGAAATCACATGAGGATACATACTGGTGAAAGACCGTATATGTGTGAGGAATGTGGGGCTTCTTTCACTCAGCGTTCAAATTTGCGTAGTCATAAGCGAGTCCATACCGGTGAACGCCCATACATGTGTGGGATTTGTGGACAGACATTTGCTCGCTCATCACATCTTCCAGGACACATGCGAACTCACACAGGAGAAAAACCTTTTAATTGTCCTTGGTGTAATCGTTCTTTTGCTACTAATCAAATAATGAAAAATCACATGAGGACTCATACAGGGGAAAGACCTTTTGTGTGTGATGTTTGTTATGCTACATTTGCTCAGAGTTCATGCTTAGCTACTCATAAGAAAATTCACACTGGTGAACGCAATTTTAAGTGTGGGCAGTGTGGGAAAGCGTTTATATCTAGATCAGGGTTACAAACACATGAACGTGTTCACACAGGAGAAAAGCCTTATACATGTGAAAAATGTGATAAATCCTTCAAGACTTCATCGTATCTTTCTAAACATAAGCTGAAATACTGTGGTAACAATGGATACAAGAATAGAGTTCGGCAACCCGATGCAAAAAAGCCAGGTCGAAAGTCTGCAAATAATAGAAAGATGAGGAAATCACGAAAATCTGTAAAACCACATGGAAGGCCACAGAAGAGAGGTAAAGCAAAGAAATTACGGCATACTAAAAGGTGCAGGCATAGTGAATCTCAAGTCGAATATGAGGAAGAATTACCAGTTGGTGAGCACTTTGGTACAGCTACCCCTTGTGAAATAGAAGATGTGCAGGTAAAGCAAGAAAGACATGATTCGGAAGAAAGTTCCAAATTCAGAACTCTACGTAAAAGTGCAAGTGCACACAACACGCGACAATATAATGTCAAAGATAAAGATAGCCTTGCATTGTCTTGTCATGAGAGAGTGAGATTATCAGTTAATAACAGTGAACTGTGTAAGGATGGCTCAGCGGCTGATGAGAACCTTGAAAAAAATTGCTTTAGTCCCTCCGAATCTTATTCACAAATTTTACACATACATCAACAAGTTTCTGAAATTCATCAAGAAGTAGCAGAAGCCGACCTGAAAGAAAATTCAAATTCCGAGTTACATGAGAGTACAAAGTGTGGTGCAGAAATTGCAAATTTACTTTTCAGGGATATTCATCATGAGGTCACAGACGCTATCCCACAGGTCTCAACTATATTGACTTCCAAAGCTCATCAAGAAACATTTGTACCTAAAAATGGCTCAACTGCCTGGTATTTCAGAAGCTATATGTGATCATGTCTCATATTTGATGCTCAAATTATATATATATATATTTTCTTATATTTGTCTTTTTTTATTATATGCTGTACCAGTATGTAAATTGTATTTTGATAGTTCCAATTTAAGAAAGCATTTTACTTAATATTTTTGTATAGGCTTACAACACTTTCTAACATTAAAAAGTATTAAAAATGGATTACATGTCTATAGTCTAATTTACAATTAAATACTGTACTGTACATTAGTAGAAAAACTTAACTATTATGACAAAAATGGAAAACTGATGCGTGGAAAAATGAAAACAATAATCATACATAAGCCTAATCTATATGCCCTCTACTGTATTAGGCCTATGTTAAGCCAATTCCATTTTCTGGGACGAGCCTCCGAGCCTCACCCAGAAAGTGGCGTTTCATTACATTCAACACTGTTTTTTTTTATGTTTAATTTGTTTTTAATTTTCAATGTTTTTCTTTATTTTTGCTCATCAATTTTGATATCTTTTATGTTTTTAATTAATTGCAAAATAGACTATGAACATAGTCATTTTTAGTACTTACTGATGTTAGAACTTGTCGCAAAGTTAAAATGTACGTGCCTTTTAGTATTTAAAGTACAGGTATTATGGTTTTAGAAATTGTTTGGTGGGACCTTCAAAGAATAATGATAATTGCACCAATATAGTACAATGGTAAGAAAGCATAGCTGCAGCAATATTTTGAGGGCATTGTAGGGTCATTCCTGTTGAAGTGACAACAATGAATTATGTAAAATAATAATAATTTTGCTGAAATTAAGCACATGTATAGGAATATTAGAGAAATGCGTATAACCAGAGTTGGAATTCACTGTCACTTCCCGTGTTCAAGATAATTGTCTGGAGTTGGATCTAACCTCAGAAATAGTTTGAAATTAACAGTGCATAACTTTTTTTAACTTAACACTTTCGCTCGTTAACGACGCAGTATGGGGTCAAAAATTTAGTAGATGAACGTTCGGTAATGATGCAGTATGGCTTCAAAAATTGAAAAATTTGGTCAGCTTTCGGCTTGACTTTGTGAAAGTCATGCCGCGGTTTTGGACTTTATTTCCATATACTCCTGTAGGGAATTTTATTATGAACACATTGATACCAAAATGAAAGATCTAGGACAAGAATTGAGGTAACAAAGTTGAAAAGAGAATACACATTTAAGTGCTCTTGAGAGCTCACCGCTAATGCGCTGTCACTTTCTGCATTTGCTGCGGGTGGTATGCCACAATTTATATGCTTTATATGGATATACTCCTGTGGGGAATTCTATTGCGAACACATTGATACCAAAATGAAAGACCTAGGACGAGAATTGAGGTGACAAAGTTGAAAAAGAGTACAGTATATACATTTTATTGCTCTTGAGCGCTCACGGCTAACACGAATGTCACTTTCTCTGTTTGCTGCGGGTGGTACACTGTGCTTTTGGACTTTATATGCATATACTCCTGTATGGAATTTTATTGCAAACACATTGATACCAAAATGAAAGTCCTTGGATGAGAATTGGCATGACAAAATTGAAAAAAGAGTGAAAATCAAGAATAAAATAACGCAAGCTCCCGTGGAATGCGTGGGGCACTTTGGGGTGGTCTGGTGCTTGCTCACCCCATGAGCAAAAGTGTTAAAAAGATGTGCCTGAGCTAATTTTTAAGAACTTTGGCAAATAATTTCCCATTGTTTGAAACAGGAAGCCTGTACTTTGGTTTATTGACTTCCCCGCCCCCTTTGGCTTATTGACTTCCCCTCCCCCTTTGGCCAACTATTTGACCTTCCACAGGATGCGACTCACAACAATTGCAGAAAAGAAAAGGTGTCACGTAAAATATGGCCCCTCCTCCTTCCTGATAATGGTAGCCCAGGCAATTCCCCCGTTTCGAGTTTCCAGCAGTGTATTCCTAATCATCGGTACTGTTACGCATCAGGCTTAGGTCGGCTCACAGTCGAAATTGATAAAAAAAAAAAGAGAACCTGAACACTATCGCATGCCCAGCGCATGGCCCCCTCGCACCTCAAGATAGGCGGAGCGTTGAGCGTGAACTCATCACCACATATATATGATTATACTGTACTCTTTTTCTGCTTTGTGACCTGTATTTTTTGCTACATTGTTTAATTTGGTATCAAATTGTTTGCAATAGAATGCTCTAATGGAATATTTGCATATAAGAACATATAAGTCTCGCTTTTCTATACTTTAAACCCGCTGCGCACTGCCAGGTAGTCTGTGCGTTCCATGTGAGCTCAACACCACATTCAAATGTTTATACTGCTCTGATCAGCTTTATGAGGTCAATTTTCATGCTACGTCGTTCAACCTGGTATCAAATTGTTCTCAATAAAATGCCCTAAAGGAATATTTGGGTATAAAAACAAATATTAGAACAACATTTCCAATAATATAAGATAAAGTTCATCATCATGTGAACAACACCCGCTTTTCTTCGATGTTTCCAGTCATTATTCATTTCCGACATTCCCGACCGCGGGGTGGGGATGCCACGCGGGATATATACAAAGCATAGGAAGATGTTGGTGCACATTTTAAAGCAAGTCCTACAGTATTCGGACAATAAATGGGTTTTTTATAAATTTTTAAATATTTGACGCCGTTTGCGTCATTGGGCCTACTCCGTATTTTGGTTTTATGAAGTCGACACTGTCATCGGGCTGCGAAAGTGTTGATTCCCGAGGGACCTATTTTACTGCTAGGTGAACAAAGCATCAGGTGAAAGGAAATGGGCCCATCCATTTGTGTCCTGCTCAGGAACTGGAACTATGTCTCTCTGTTATGAGCCAAGTGCATACACCACTTTGCTTAGGTCTTTTATGAAAATTAAATTTTTGTTTTTCTTAATACGATCTCAGCCAAAGGAATCTGATTTTCTTCACATTCCATACATATTCAGACATATTGATAGTAGAATGGGCATTATGGTAGAAAGGAAGCTATGAATATATTTTGACCTGCAAAAAATCAGATTTAGAACAACATTTAAATGAATGAGATGAACATTGCATTATTTGATATTTTGTATACTATGACTAAAATATAAATATAGATTCTATATTAGCTTCTAAATACTTGAATTAACTATATACATATGGTGTATATACAAATTATGCTACAGAGTAAGTTGTATCAATTTGCATGGTGCTTTTTGTAACATTGTAACATCACTATACTGCACTGTATCAATGGAACCAAGACTGCCATATATAGCGTACATGTACTTGCAATATCCTTTATTTTTATACATGTGTAAGATGCTATACCTTTATTATGTTAGTTGCAGCTGTTTCTAATTAGTAACATTGCCAATTTGTATGTAACTACAGTATTATTACTATATTACAAATACTGTACTTAATTGGCAACACTGGAGAAGCTCTTGCAGTCTATGACATAAATTTAAAGATGGCTACAGATTCAAGGAGAGATGCTCAGTTTTGTTGAACTTTGTGTAGGAAGGTACAAGCAAGCAAGCTTGTGTTGTGTTCAGCTATAATCCTTGTTTTCACCGAGTAATAGCAAACTTTTTACTTTATTTAAACAGATGCTAAAGCAGTCTTTATGCATGCAAAAACTTTATGCAATCTTGTATACACTTCGTCAGCAACTTTCCTAATGTCAATGTTCCTTTGTTATTGTAGTTGCCTCCCCACAGTTCTCTCATTGCCCTGGCTATGGGGGCTAACATTGGCTGTTTCTTGTCCATAGCAAGTTTAAGATTGAGTTTTGCTGGGTTCTGAGCCATATTGGTATTACCTTGAATGAACTTGTGGACATTGCTGCTAAGGAGGCTATCCACACTTGTCCTATTTCAAAAAAAGGCATTCCCTATTCAGACTTCTACCCGCTCATTCATTCCTCAATTCACAAGTCTTGGCAGGGTCGCTGGTCTGAGGTTACAGGTAACAAACTGCGCACTCTCAAAAGTAACATATCCACCTGGCCTTCCTCCTGCCACCATAATAGATGCTGGGAAGTGGCTTTGGTTAGATTGCATATTGGCCATACACGCTTAACTCTTGGACATTTAATGGAGTACAGCCCTGCTCCTTACTATCATAAGTGCATTATCCCACTTACAGTTGTGCACCTTCTTGTGGAATGTCCCAATTTTCAGGACAATCTTATGTCTTTCTTTCCTAATATTCTTTGACAAAGTCCTTTGTGAATCTGAGACCTTTGATATTACTCGCCTCGGGTACTTTTCTTCTCATATTGGCATCCTCTGTGATATTTAGTGTATATTGAATATCCAGCGACATGATGGTGATACATAGTCTCCCGGCTTGGTGCCTTCCTTTGATAATTAATTAATCTCACATTTAATAGTTTCTCCAATATGTTGCCAAAATGAGCCTTTTTAATAATAAATTCATACACATTTCACCAAATTAGCATATAAAATGCAGTGTGGCCACCACCTAATTATCCAAATCATTTGGTACCTCTGGCTGTTCAGAAACTTGAATTCGGGATAATTGAAGAAATATAGTACTGAATATGGTTGGCATCAGCCATTTTTTTCTCACCCACACCAATAAACTTTTTAACTCTTTTTTTCCCTGTTTTCTTAATCAATTCTTGGGTTAATAAGCATTCAGTTTCTCCAGTTTTCCACTTTTGTTTAGGTGAGATAGCTTGGGTTGGTTTACTTTGCTCAAAACATTATGAAAGCATTACCTAGTACAGTACTCAGTTACTGCTATTGTGAACAATGGCCACCAACGCTCCCTCACTTAATATAGCTACAATCACATTTATAATGATTTTTGTAGTTATATGAAACATTAGTAGAAAGAAATAGGCACAGTACACATGTAATATATTTTTCCCTTTAAGAAAATTGCATTAAATAAAGGCCCACTACGGTATTGCCAAATAGAAAATTTTCCCTATTTTAGCAGGAAAATACACTGTACAACCTAGCAGGCGATGAGTCACAATAACGTGGCTAAAGTAAGTTGATCAGACCACACACTAGAAGGTGAAGGGACGACGACGTTTCGATCGGTCCTGGACCATTCTCAAGTCAATCGACTTGAGAATGATTCAGGACGGACCGAAATGTCGTCGTCCCTTCACCTTATAGTGTGGGGTCTGGTCAACTGTACAACCTATACATACAGATTTTAAAAAGCAATTATTATTTATAATACAGTATTAAATATTATCTTTATTTGGTTATTAATGTAATTTTGTGTTACAGTACAGTAGTTACAGCATAGGTTGCCATATTTTGTTCAGTAACCCAATGGCAAAACCCAGTAATGCAAAGTTCTCTTCAACTGGAGCAGTCAAGCACTTGAACTCCAATTTATTTCTGTTCTTCATTTGGCAGAAAAAGTTAGTCAGGAATTCAAACTTATTAGGGAATCTTGTTCACTAGAAATCGCAGTAATTTGATTTTATCTTTGTTACAAAGTGATGCACTCAAACTTATATTTATTTGGGTTAAAAGATAAAAAAAACTTGAACTTGAATTCATTCTCATTACTGAGAAATTCGGGTTACTGCAATCTGAGTTGTAGAGCTCTTATAGTACTTTTAACTGTTATGTTAAACACACATGATGCTAAAATGTCTGGCAAGCTTAATGCTTTCTTTTGATTATTACTTTTTTTATAGTCAAACTATTTCTGAGGTGTACAATTTAAGTGGCCTTAGAGACTGTAGGTCACGGTGACCCCTTACTTTGGGTTATACCTTAGCACCCTAGGATTATTCCACACATTTGATGGTGCTACATAGCCTTCCCAGCTTGGTGCTTCCGGGGCTTAGTGTCCCCGCGGCCCGGTCGTCGACCAGGCCTGCCTTCTTTTGATAATTACATATTTACTAAGCACTTCCTTAACAAACCATCCTATCTTTTAAGTTGAATTAAAATCAGAAATGGTCTTTATTGTGAGTTTGTCACTTGAATAGTGAGCCCCCTGTTATGCAACTAATAAATGTCAGGCGAGAACATGTTTGAGATGACCGTTAATCGAAATGCAGTTTAAAGTGTTGACAATTCTTAGGGAATTTGCTATGCAACATTTCAATTTTTTTTATATGAATACATATAATTTTGGATTTAAAATGTTGAATATATATTTGAATACATCTGAAGAATTATTTTGTTTTATTAAACCTCCAATGGTGGTAATGTGTTTTTCATTATTGGTAACTAATTCATATATCCAGTGAAGTGCCAAATTATTAATCAACAGAACATTTGTTTGCTGTTTTTTATTCAAATTTTAATGCAAGCATAAAAGCATTAGAGATTGATTCATTACAACTTTTAATATAGAGCAAGTACTCTTAAGTACTCTAAAGCTAAAGAAAAAGTTTGACCTCTTAACCTTGTTAAATTTATAAAATATTTTTGATATAGTGCATGTAGTTAAGTATCATATTTTATCTAGCTACTGTACTTTGCATATATATATATATATATATACTTGATTTTTCATATCTGTTATAGGTATGGTTAGACCTGTTTATATGTGTGCAGTAAACATTTTGATTTGCATACCTAATATACTGATACTTAATGCTTTCTAAGGTATTGTAATTGCTTCTAAGATGAACAGAACTCTGATTCAAACTAGTAGTTCCCATTGTATGATGGTTAGCATTGGTTTAGCAACAGAGCTCTAGTTGAGTAGAATAAACTGCCAAGTTGTATTTGTGAAGTGAACACGCAGGAAATACTGTATTTAAAAACAACATTAACACACAAAAGTGAAAATTGTTATGGATTAAATGTGACCTACCATGCGTTAATCTGTTCGCATGTTCCAGTGTTCCTCATTCATGTGTTGGAAGATGATTCCACCCATACACAGCTGTATGTAAATAATACTAGTCCATCTAGGATCAAGTCAAGGACGTCTGATTAATTGTTAGGTGCCTTACATAGTTATAAATAAATAAATAAATGTTTATTCAGGTAAGGTACATACATACAAGAGGTTTTATAAAAATTGATAGATTTATAGATAGAGCTAGTACTGTACATACAATGCCTAAAGCCACTATTACGCAAAGCGTTTCGGGCAGGACATAATTCTTTTTAGTGCTCAATTTATTATAAATTTATTAAATTGCTCAATTTATATAGTCATATAAATTACTCGGACACACTCGGATCAAGACATGTATTACTTAATTGAAACTTGTTTTTTTTGTGCTCCTGCTACTGTTTATGTAGCTAATTAAATTAAAATATAATCAATTAAATTATATTTTTAAATTTTGTATTGCTTGCAGTTGCATATTTAGATTTACTTATGTGTCGTGGTTCTAATCTGCATGCAGATGAAAATTATTATTGTCATTTGATGGATATTTAACAGCATTATATCTAACAAAAACTATGTACCAAGTTGATTGTAGGAGTAAGAGAACTTGTTACATTGCTGGACATAAATAACTTCTTCTGAAACAACTTTAGGATATGTTTAGGGATTCACCCAAGATTCCCTAAGTAGGATTTTGAAAGTGTAGTACTACAAGTATCTAACATCTATGAATGGTTTCCAGGGCAGCTACATAAATCCAAGTTTGGTGAAGAACTGCTTTAGTAACTACAGTAAATCATTCATCATTGTAGGTGAGTTGAGATCTTATGCTATATGAATAGTTAGTAACCCAAGGAATGTTGACCAGACCACACACTAGAAATTGAAGGGACGACGACGTTTCTAGTGTGTGGTCTGGTCAACATACTTCAGCCACGTTATTGTGACTCATCGCCTGCACCCAAGGAATGCTTTTTAGGAAGTAACTAGATAAAAGCAAGATGCTTGTGGCATGCCTGTGCTTTAAAGTAAATCCAGTACTCTGCATGATTTGACTCATTTGCTGCAATTTATGTAATATGTTCATTACTGCTGCTGCTGCTGTTCATTTATAAGTTTCGACATGTAACCTGCATCTTAGATCTGTATGTCATATAAACTAAGCTTAGGCCGAGTTGTGAAGCGAGATGTATCAGAGGGCTTATATGGATAGGTTGTGTTGAGATAAATTTTTATATGAGAAAAGGACTGAAGAGAACTGTGTTTCCAGGAGTAAATAAATAGAGGATATTTGTTTAAAAATCCAGCCCCAGTGGATTTTTTCATTGATACAGTTACATTGATATTGATACAGTTACAGTTACAGTTACAGATACATTGATATCACGTTACCTTACCTTGAGATGGTTTTGGAGCTTAGGGTCACCGCGGCCCGGTCCTCGACTGAGTAATCACACGTTAGTGTGATTTGTGGATGAGGATGTGATCAATGTGTCTTGAGGATGTGATCAATGACTATTGTGTCAAGTGAATGTAACCAGGTATTGAGAATATAACTCGAAAATGGTAATGAGAACAAGACGAACTATAGTTGGACAGTATATCTTGACATATAATCATTGAGAAGCCTATATTGGAAACTGGTTCAGATACAGTGAAATTTTATATCATTATCATAAATAAAGAAACTTAGCATTTAGAATCAGGTTAAAGGATACCATAGTATTTTTGTTTGAAGATCCTTTTGTAACTGCTAGGCTTTAGGAGATCCTTGATTGAGGCATGGCTGTTAAAAAATGGAGAGGGGTATTGCATTTATTGTTCCTAGTTACAGATATGTGTTGCATGTTGCAAGATGATCACAGAAAAATATGGCATTGAGTGTAATGAAATACACATTTTTGTGTGGCACCTCAATAGTTCCCCCTTACCTTGAGGTTACCTTGAGGTTCTTCCGGGGCTTAGCATCCCCGCGGCTCGGTCGTCGACCAGGCCTCCTGGTTGCCGGACTGATCAACCAGGCTGTTGGACGCGGCTGCTCGCAGCCTGACGCACGAGTCACAGCCTGGTTGATCAGGTATCCTTTGGAGGTGCTTATGCATTAACCTAGGTGCTCCCCTAGGTTAATGATCTGGCACTTTGTCACTGGCAGGCATGTTAAGCATCCGTGATAATCTTAATCCGCTGGCAGCAAGTACCACTAAACACCAACTTATCTTCTCGGTGAGGTGGGGAGTGTGTGGCAATAAAAGATCATCCCACTACTGTACTTAGATGAACTGTCCTAAAACTTAGTCACAAAACATTGAGAAAGAGGAATTTTGCTACACTGCCTTATTTTGGGCCTTACAAGTAGCTCCTACCTTCTCACCATGGAATCTCTACAATGACACGAATATATTTTCAAAGAACAAAATGGAATAAACAGCATAAGGAGAATGTATACATAGGGCTTAACCATAATGAATAATGTCCTTGGCAACCAGAAACCAGGTGGAATGACAACTTCAGAGATGAGTAACATAGCCCATAGCCATGCAGTGAAGATGATGGTTTGGATCTTATCTGTGGACATATTTGAAAATAAATGCTATCTGAGCAGTGTATTTGTGGCGAGCTTGAGCTCTATGGAGCCAGTCGGCCGAGCGGACAGCATGCTGGACTTGTGATCCTGTGGTCCTGGGTTCGATCCCAGGCGCCGGCGAGAAACATTGGGCAGAGTTTGTTTCACCCTATACCCCTGTTACCTAGCAGTAAAATAGGTACCTGGGTGTTAGTCAGCTGTCACGGGCTGCTTCCTGGGGGTGGAGGCCTGGTCGAAGACCGGGCCGCGAGGACACTAAAGCCCCGAAATCATCTCAAGATAACCTCAAGATAACCTCTACGGTATAAATAAGGCTTGCTCCTGTTCAGCAGCTGGCAAATGCCTTGCGACTACCAGGCCACTGTGCAGCGCAGAGAGCCTTGAGGCGCTCGTAGAGTTGTGCTATTTTTTTTAATTAGGCTATACAGTATTTTAAAAAAATTTAATGTTTTCATCACTCTTTATGTTTTGAAATGAAAATGGTTGAGTTTGGAAACATACTGACATTAACTTTACCTGAACATTTATAAAAACAAGAAAAATATGTCTTTAACAATTGCACTATGATGTTTTTGACAAAACCAAGTGCGCAGTGCAGTGGTTAAGGAGAGCAGTGAAACCGGAGACTTCAGATGAGTGCAGTTTGATGAGAACCAAGAGTTGCAATAGAATACTTAAAAAGAGCTTCCACGAAACATAGTGCAAAATGGTCACTAATTTGTAAAAATCAAACCTTGATAAAAAATGGACCCAAATGAAATAAAGAACTCATTTGTAGCCACAAGTGAGGGAGATGTCTGAAGCTTCACAGACCAATAACCCAGGCAAAACTGAGCAAGAATCTACCCTATTACAAAATAGTATGAAGTTCATCTACACCTGCCCTTATCCAGCGTCCAGGAATGCTCAAGGGAGCATACATGAACTGAGGTGAAAAAGGTCCTGAGCCAACTTGGTGAATGGTGCCAAAGTTAATTCAAACCAAAATGCCAGCAAGAGAGATGCCACCAAAGGCCATTGTTATGAAGCATCATCCAACACTCCACAAAAAGCCATGACAGGAAAGGCATCATCACTGCCTCCGATAACAAAGATACCTGATGAAAGACACACATCTTACTGGCATCTCGAAGTCAGTCTCAAATTAGAAACCAAGGTGAAGGCCATCTGTCTCTTGTACTGTTGATGATACAGCTCCATAAAAATGTCTGTGAAGATCTGCAAAGACGGATCCAGAGGTTTGGTGTCTAATCTTCTAGCAGAGGAGGAGGCACAGGAAGGTCATTGGTTGAGGGTAATGTGAGAGCAGGGGCTTAACTGGCCATATGAGAGCAAAAAGATAATACAGTGGTTACACAGGTCTAGAATATGAACCTAACAGGGAAGGGAATCTAAGCTGGTTACAGTCCGTACACAACATAACCACCACCAAAGCATATCAACCAGAAACAACTCAACATACTGTAGAGTACAACTAGAGTGTCGAGTACAAACCTGCTTAAGAAAGGTAAATTAAATGGAAACACTGGCAGAAGTGCACCCGAGAGGATGCATTTAGCGCGAAGTGGATCCCAAAATGGTTCAATTAGCCGATAAGGCCCCCATCTCATCTCAATAACCAGAAATCCTGTTTTGGGTAGATTTCTGATTCCAAACTCTCCTCATTTTGTAGAGATAACTAGATTCTGGTCTTGGCCTCCAATAGGCTTGTGTGGGTCTAATAGGCCTGAAATGATTCAAAGTATTATCAGTACTGTATCAGTATTATCAGTACTGTATCAGTACTAGCTTGTAAACTTAGGCAGCCATTGAGGGCTTGCCAGAAAAAATTATTTTATTACATTGCATGCTGGATTTTTTCTTCTGTGGTGAATCTTCCCCATAAAATTAGGAACTGGGGGGAATAATAATGTTTGTATGTAGATAATCTACAGAGTTTCTATGAATATCTTTCTCTAGATAATTTTGATATTTAAGTTAAAGATGGTTATCCACCATATCCCAGGACTAATGTGTGCATGAGCACATACAGTGTACACTTGCGGGGTTTGAGCTTAGGTTCTTTGGTCCCATCTCAACTGTCAATCAACTGGTGTACAGATTCTGGTGCCTACTGGGCTCTTATCATATCTGCATTTGAAAACTGTGTATGGAGTCTGCTTCTACCACATCACTGCCTAATGCATTCTATTTGTTACTACTCTGATGCTGAAAAATATCTTTCTAAGGTCTTTGTGGCTCATCTGGGTACTAAGTTTCCACCTGTGTCCCCTTGTTCATGTTCCAACCGTGCAAAATAGTTTCTTTGTTCACCCTGTCAATTTCCCTGAGAATTTTGTAAAGGCAGTTCTTATGTTGGCCAATCTAGCATATGCCACTAATGATATCTTTTTGCTGTGGGCTTTTGGGGACAGGTTCAGTGTGCTATCAACCCCCAGATCTCTCTCTCTATTTGACTGTTGCAGGAGTTAACCTCCCAGATGGTACCTTGTGTTCAGCCTCCTGCTCCCTTTGCCTAATTTATTTACTTTACACTTTCCTGAGTTGAACTTTTATAGCCATTTTCTAGACCATTCCTCCAATTTGTCCAGGTCGTCCTGTAGTCTCTGTCTATCTTCATCTGTCTTTATTCTTCTTATAATTTTTGCATCATCAGCAAACATTGAGAGGACGGAGTCTATCCCCTGGAAGGTCAAGTGTGTGTGTGTGTGTGTGTGTATGATGTTCCTTGCATCAGTCACATCTTGCATATTTTTCCATTTATTATTTAGCAGAAATGGCCATGTTGGGAGAACTATGCAGAAACATAGTTTTAAAAAAGTTGTGTTACATAGTGTTACAAAAAGCCAGCAGTTATTTTAGGAGTCTAACTTTTTAGCCATTGAAGCTCTCGTACTCTACATTGCCATTTCTGCTACTGATCTTCTTTACATTGAATTCAACATCGTTTGAACACCCATTAGAAGCTGTCATATAACAGTGATAGTTTCTGGCTCACATGTGATGCTTGCATTGGAATCCTGATATTGATGGTGTTGAAACATTTCCAGAAACTAATTTCACAAGGCTTGCAAACTTTGCTGAATTACTCCATTGACAAGCATATATTTAGTGTTTACTGTTGTAGGTAAGCTTTTATCATAAATACTGTATGTTCGCATCAATTGTTGCTACTCCCTTTTATTTTTCAGTTTTGACTATAAAATAATTTTGATTGGAGCTTTTTCA